TAGAGTGTGCTACAGGCCTCAGAACCCATTTCTGCTGGAAAAGTGGCCGTTCTATAGACACCCAGAAAACCCATTTAAAAACCAAAATACGGCCGTTTATCATTAAAAACCAGTTTTTACCATAAGGCCGCTTTTTTTCAGCCTTTTGTATCCCCAGGTGATCCCTAAATCCTGATTTTCTGAAAACTGTGAGCCGCGTCTCGGAAGCGCATCCTTGGCCCGTGCCAGGCATATCACATCTGCGATGCGCTGTGACGCGGTTAAGTCTGAGGTCTCTCCGTACCTGGGTTTAGGGAGATTCTACAGCGGTATATAAGTGTTACATGGGCCATCATGGGCCATTTAGGATATTTAGGGGTCTTGTAGGATAATATCGGGATAATCCATGCCTGGGCTTAGGGATATCATATAACTGTATAGACGGGTTATATAGGGTGAAATATAGGGATAATGGAAAAGAAAATGGCAACTGCTAGGAGAGGCTAGGTTAAGCTGCCCTGGGTTTGATTTTGTAAATGTGTTGGGTGTATTTTTTCAATTAGGGCTGCATATGTCTGAAGCCTCAGGCCGTAAAGAACCTCTTTTACACACAAACTCAAGACAACTTCCATATCCGAAAGCCAGATTCCTCTTCAATCAGCCCCCTTTTCCGTTTGAACACAACTTATATACTCTAACATTGTCTTCCGGGGGAGCTCAATTTTCAGGAATTGCTGCCGAAGCGGATTTTACTTGCGCAGCATTGTGTTGAATCTCGATTAGTGTGGGGGTTCTGAACGGCGAGGAGGTTTGGGGATTCAGCACACCTCCAATTCTGTCTGGCGGCATTTGTGTTTGTGCGAAGTTTCCCAGCCCAAGACAACTTCTGGATAGGTGGGCTAGAGGGGGAACCCTCAATGACAATTCAAGCTTTCAAATCCGTGTGAGGAGGATTGCGGAGCCCAGTAGTTGGATCACAGTAAATTCAATTGGAGTACGGCTCCGGGCTCAGTCGCTGTTTTAAAGACAATTCAATAGGAGAAGCTTGGGGATGCCCCCCGAAGGTATCGGATCAAACCAGCAGTCCCAAAACTTTGGTATTAGAGGTGAAGGATCCGGGCAGATGCCGGACTACCGTGGAAATGATTGCGTGGCCTCTTCCAAGCCGCGGTTCACTAAGGAAGCGATAGATTTGGATGCAGCCCCCTAAAGCCTGAAATCTTGCAGACCCAGCTTCTCAGGCAAAGTGGACAAGACAAACATACGCATCACAAATTAATTCCAGGTTCTTAGCAGGACTTACAGGCTCTTAGCAGGGAATAAGGGAATCTATTCCCTATATAAACCCTAAAGAATGAATTCCCTTGTTTTGAAACAAGCAAAGTGCAAGTGGTCAAATATGTCTGGCTCCTGCCCATCAATAAGGTTGAAGCGGTCCCTACTTGCGGCAATCAAGCTAATGTTGGTTCCGGATTAGTGTGCTAGATCTCTCCCCAAACAAGAAGGGCGTCTTGGGCTACGGGGGGAGGGAACTAATTATGGATATTTTCTCCGTGGTATGATTTACAGATTGGGCCAAGCCATCAAATCCCATGTGGGGCGATCCTTACACAAACCTTTTGTGATGCTTGAAAGCGCTACTTATCCAATCCAAGATGCTCGGAGATGACACGAATGATCTCCTTGCAGTGGAATGCATGCACGAGCACAGCGACGGTGCGCGGCAGTAACATGCTGGCTTGAACGTGTGGAGCGCCACAATCTGTTTCGAGTTTAGCAAGTCACTATGCTAACGTGTGAAGGGCATCAGGGTCGATGCCTGATCCCTTATCCTAGATTCCTCCTGTAAGGAGCCGCGGAATGCCGCATAGATCAGCTGTCAACTCCCTAAGTTCAAGGTCCTTGTGTACTCCTTGGGAAAGAAGCCCCACATGAGGCTTCATACTGTTGTCGCCCACAAGCCTCCAAGAATTATACTCCCCTTTTGAAAACGGCGTGTATGGGTTTGTATGTTCAACGCTTTGGCTAGCCCTAAGCATCCTCAAGGAACCCAATTTACCAGCGGATGCCCTGAGGTCCTAAGTAGATCTCCACGCGCCTACTTAAACGCCTCCACGAACCATATTCGGGTTCGGCCATGCCTTGACTAGATCCCATGACACATGACATGACTTTGAACGCCCCACTATATCGTCCCTATAAAGACGGGCCCCTGAGCTCCGTGTTGGCTTCTTTGCAAGTTTCTCAAACTGTGCCGTATGGAAGCCTCAATAGGAACCCCAACAATCTCCTCATAATTACCATATACCCCAAAGGCAAGGAACCCGACCACATTTGTGAGAAGCCGTAAACCCTACATCCTCATCCCGAAGCCGCACAAATCCCTGCAACCGCAACCTCCTTTAAGGCCCCTATGTGGCCCCATTTTGAGAGCTCTAGAAACCCTAAATCCTTTGAAGCTGCCCCCCTATCTTCCCGGTCTCCTCGCGCGAGGCGGTCATCAGGAAGTCCCAGGCAGTGATTCCTGTCAACGAGGCCCCGGTAAGAAACTAGGTAGCGAAGTAAGAGATCTAGAAAAGTAGTACATGTCTAAAATAGTAATCGTTTTCTTGTTACTACTACTACTACTACTACTACTACTACTACTACTATGTATCATTAGTTTAATTCTCTGGCTTCATACCTGGAATGCCTAGCTCTCCGCCCTGAACTTCAAGAAAAAGAGCCTAAGCCATGAGCTCTACTGTAAAAGCCTAAACCCTAAACTCTAATCCCCCCACCCCAAACATTCAATCCCCCAACACCCCAAACCCTGCCTGGAAAAAAATTGTCAGGCTTCCCGGGATCCCAAGACTACCCCAAAAACGGAACCCAAGAATTCAACCCAAGAATTCCTTTGCTCTGGTCGAAGCGAAGGTCCAAAGGGCCGTCCGCCTGAACTGTAAGTTCTCTTGGGTCCAAGTTCGAGTGGGTTCTGGGGATTGCGTAGGGAGCATCATACAGGGGCATAGGGGATCTAGAGAGTAGAGAGCTAGGTTTCGGAGCTTGCAGGCAACAGGAAGCGGCACGCTTCATAATTAACAGCCTGCAGAATGATCTCCCGCCCAGGGTCAGAACTTGTCTACCTGACCTCCACAAGTAGTGTCATGCTCCGAAAGGTCTTTGGTCATGTTTCCTATTCTCGGCACCCCCTACAGTCATATCTTTGGTCATCTGGCTATCCCCACCCCAACATTCGCACAATGCGGCAATACGTGCAGCCCAATTAGCAAGTGCACTGGAACAGAAGATCCTTTCTTGCCTCAGGTCGGAATCCTCGGCCAGCATCATCAAATTGCGGCGATGAGATGCCCAAGTCAAAGAGGACCTTGGCCGGAGTCCACGATCAAGGGAGGGCATTGTTGGCAAGCTCCTGCTTCTTAACATTGGTGAAGGTGGCAGGACGTCTTGCTGGATGCATCACATCTCTGGCTCGGACTTTGAACCTGCTGCACATGCCCCAGACCAGGCAAATGCTGTCTTGCTACTTCCAAGCGGGGACACTGCCTTGGAGCGTGCTGGAATGCTTGAACCCCTGGCTTCTTGTAGGTTTTAAGTGTACTGTGAGGCATGTTAGGAGTGCTTCTGGGAAATTGCAGCCAAGCGTCGCCATGTAATCCAATATAGTGCCTAATATAACCCAAGACAATCCTTATACATCCCACTATAACCCCAGTATAACTAGGAGTTGTTTCCCACACTTCCCAAGTTGGCTGAGAGCAGCGCTGCGGAAATCCGCACGCCCAATGGCTTCAACACAGCCTGTGGCCACTGGACTTCTCATCATCCCCATATCCAAAATCCAGTGTATTCCTATTGAGCCCGCGTGATGGTTACGTTGCTATGGGGCCTGTTGCAGTTTGAGGCCATGATTGACAGCAACTTGGAATGAATCCGTCTGCCTGAAGTTGAACACACAGCTGATCTCTCCATTCGGATATCATGCAGGAAGTCTACACTACACCTGACGCGCTTCCTCCAACAATTCAATTCAAGGAAGTTCATAACATGTTACAACATTGTTGCCTGTGTGCCTTGCATCATTTTCAGGACCTGCCTTCATGGAGCTGAAGGGCGCGTGGTGGATGGTGAAGCGCGAGTCTGCCTTGCAGATTCAACGCTGAGATCCCTGATGCCAACATTTTCGCGCGTGGAAAGCATCTGTAAACTGAAGATGGCAACGTCATTACTTTGGCTTGTACACTTTGCTGCCAAAAGCCCGCCCATCCCACAAAGTCTTTAAACACGTTCTGTCAATCAGATGCTTTGTTCATCTACACCTCAGTCACCTCAGCAAGATGTAAGTACGCCTCATCAATGGTACGCATCAGATGGCCATTGAGCCTTCATCAGCTCCTTCCCAGCGGCGATAGCTTCCTGGCAGCGAGCTTTTTCAAAGCACATCTTCACATTCCTGGAGGGAAGCGGGGAGAATCCTCCCATAAACATTATATTTCCCTGGGGGCCTGTGGCTACATGAATATGTCAAACGCCAAAAACGGTGACAGCGCCATCACCAAACAGTGCCGTGCAGTCACCGTACATATCACCCTTGTTACTAAGTAGGGGTGCTCTTCTGTTGGAGTTCTCTGCATGCGTCCCTACAGCCCCGTTGAAACATGGCAGGGGTCACTGGGTCCATGTCGAAGGCATGGAGGGAGCCCGAGGGTGACATTGCAGCCAACATTGCGCGTGTGTGACCTCCACGCCCGAAGGTGCCATCCACGTAAACGCCACCTCCCAAGTGGTTGGTTTGGTTGTTAGGCGCGTGTGCTGGTGGTACAACAACGAATGGACCAAAGCAGCATGTCCCTTAAAAGGTCCGCTAGAAAAGTCCCGTGTTCTAAAATGCGGCCATATCTGTACAACCTGACACAAAATGAGGTGCTCCTTGTAAGCTCTTGCAATTTCGCAACATCTGCAAAGATCAGTGCGGGTGCTAACTAAGCGGGGGATTGGTCCCTAGTCCTCTTTCTGCCTCGGCCCTTGCGTGATCACTTTAGCACGCTCTGCCCGGAGGCCTGGATTTGGTGCCACCAGCTTCTTGACCTGGGTCTGCAAGAAATCTTAACATTGTCATATGCGAATCCCCGAGGCGTCTTCCCAATTCTTGCACATATATATATACATATATACTCCTTTGGCAGAATGTAACGGGCATCATCATGGCAGCGCTGTTCTTGCCATGAATTGGCAGTAGAGCTAGACTACTGGAAAGGCCAAGCTTTGCCCAACATCATTCTGAAGGCGTCATCATCATGAGAAGTGTTGCGGCTGCAGACTAGATCTTCTTCTTTAAACCCTAAACCCTAAACCCTAAACCCTGATGGGCCTTATGCGTACAAGCCCCTTCCAAAGGTTTCCAAAATTTACGAAGGCTCCAGACCCCAATTCAGCATTGCGCAGGAAAGGTTGCAAGCATTCTTCAAACTATTCTACGAGAGTTTCGTGCTTGAGTAAAGCTGACATCCTCGCAACGAACTCCTAGACCAATGACTGTAGCTGATCCCTTTATCTTTGATGGAGAGGCTCACACTGAGTCTGCGTGCATATTGAGCTCCAGGGTTAGAATGCGACACTTGTGGTGGTAGAACTGTCAACATCCCTCAACCAAAGCTTTGATTGCAACATCTGAAAGACCTACCTGCAGCTTTCAGATGCCATGACCTGTAGCGTTGCCACTTGCATGTTTTTCGGAGCGTTACGGATCTGAGGCGCCGGCTACTTCCTCGCACAGTGCCGGGGTGTGCGTGCCAGGGGCTTGCACGGACGGCCGGATGCCGGTGTGGAACCTTACAAGCCCCAACAGCTGTAGTTGCAGGGGTGACATACATGAATAGTGTCGAGGACCAAACTTAGGCTGACAGGAGCTTGTTTTAGAGGCAAACCTTCCCCAACTGCAAGCTCCACAGAAAGGGCCTAAGGACCATGGCAGGTGTAGCCCTTCAGGCCCAGCATTCACCCTCTCATCCTCAATCAGCCCAATCAACCCTAAGCCCTATAGGCTCTATAAGTAGGCTCTCAAGCCAGAAACCAAGACTTCCCAGCTCAGCCACCACCCAAACCCTAAACCCGAACCCTAAACCCTATAAACCCTAAACCCTGTAAACCCTATGAACCCTAAACCCTATAAAGCCTAAACCCCAAACCCTATAAACCCTGAGCCCTAAGCCCATAAACCCCAAAGCCACCCATCCTCAAGCCAAGCCAAGCAGCTGCTTTCCAGCCTTGATCTCCAGCTTGCGGCCTTCAAAGCTGCACCCAGTCCAGCCTCGGTTTAGAGTCCGTCCCCCCCAAAGGGGGGTTTAGGATTTAGGGTTTAGGGTGGACATATGAGCCTTAATGACCCTTTAGGGGTAAGGGTTTAGGAGGTCAAGGGTTTAGGGTCTAAACCGCTGGTATTCCCCTTACAAACCCCTTTTTGTACCCCCTACATAATCCCTTATAATCATAATCCACTTTATTTCAGGAGTTTAGATTATGGCTCATATAGCGGTTCTATGGGGCGATATCAGGATAGAGAGGAACATTTTGGGATATAAGGGAGATATATAGGGACGTAAAAGGAGGGTTGGGTTTGGAGGCGGAGCTTCCAATGAAAAGGACTGTTGGGAAGATTGGTAGGTTCCTAGCTGTGACACATGCCCTTAGGTCTCTGCGAGTCTCCCATAGACCGGTGATACCATCCGCGTCAAGTACTGACACCAAGGGTGGTTTCTTCAGCCTAAATCCTAAACCCTATATACCCTAAACCCTATACCCTAAACCCCTAAAGCCCTAAAAGTCATCACGATCCTATGCTCCTCCCTCCCACGCTGCATAGCAGAGCTCCTGGCTGACGGCCTTATCGAAGGCCGGCTTCGTTGCGAACGTTATCCACGCAATTCCCTTGCACAAACACCCCCCACGTGCTAGCTTGAGCATGTGGTTTCAGAGATGAAGACGTTGACGCGTAAATAGAAACCGAGGACTGGAGGCAAAAGCATGAGTACTTGACGGACGGTTCGCAGCGAAGTGGCTGCTTGCACATAATCATATTCTGAATCTAAGGTTCCCAAGCAGACGCAAGACCAGTTGTCACATACTTTCGTGGTGTCTGACAGAAAGGAACAAGGCAAGTCATTACGACTAATACCGTTCCAAGGACATGTGACGTGCGCCTTGCAATTCCCTGTCTTGCTGTCGAGCATAATGCGAGGCTCGCCGACCTCAGCTTTCTTCATCTGCCAAAAGGGACCCTCCGAGTAAGGGGGTCCATCAAAGACGGGTCCTGTACATGAAGAAGGGTGACCCCAGCTCAGAAACAATCTAATGCATCCACGTTGCTATCTCGCCTGCCTGCCAAGGACGGGTCTGGCATCTGATGAGGCTTGCAATGTCATGATGTCGCAAATCACCAGGATCCCTTCACTTTGAACAAGAAACTTGAGCAAGGGCTCAGGCGAAGTGCCGTCTGCTTACATGGACACCTCATGTCCACTGGAGGGTACTGCCCCCACCTATTCACAGTCTATAATTAAGGTCACATTAAGGGCTATATATGTAATATATATATATATACCATAATGCATTTACGTTATACATGTTATCCAACTGTTAGTGAGTGGGGGCAGCACCCAACCTGTCCCAGTTCTCGGGTGAAGTATGGAAACCATCCTAGGTTCGGCTGCCTCGGAGAAAAACTGCTTCAGGGAGGTGGCGCTGGCCGAGGGCGGCAAGAACTTGATGAAGATCTCATAGCCCTCGACCTCATCCAGGACTTTCTGAAAGAAATACGGGATAAATAACAGAAAGGTATATTCACGAGATCTCCCGGTGCCCTTTACATACCCCTTTTTTGAGGGCACTCCCGTCTTGCTCCCGCATTGTCATTGGCATGCAGAACTGATCTGTCGGTTCCAGTACATCTCTCCAAAGGACTGACAGTCCTTGATATTCTGTCTGGCTGCAGACATGTTGGGATTCCACTTGGTTTTGCTACTACAGGTTTTTCAAAAAGAAAACCCTAAACTACGCAGGGCAAACACATACAGGAATCAGTTACCTGGATGTCCAGGGTATAAGTGTAAGGTCCCCACCTGTCCAGCGGCATTCTTTGCCAGGCCGGCCGTGTGCGCCATTTTGGCTCGTCGGAGGTTTAGGGCTTAGGGCCTTGGGTTTACGGCTTTTGGGAGTAATGTGAATCATGGGGAATCACCTGGAGAATCAAAAGGCAAATTATGTAAATGGAAAAAAATATAGCCTTTAGGGTTTAGGGGTCAACTAGGGCAATAATGAAGGAACAGAACCCGAACAATTAAATGGACGCTGGGTTGGTATGGCGGCTAAGGTTTAAAAAAAACAAGCCCGCCGCTCATTTTCGAGGCCTTGAGAACAGGATGCTGCACGCCACTGGGGATGCCGCAGCCAATCTGATGTCATTCGCTAGAACTCACACAATAATGATTGGAATCAAGTAGAAGCAATTTCTTTGCTGACAGACAAAGCGTCCAACTGGACTGCCCGGACTTGATGGTTGCCCTTCGGCGTCCTCAAGCCGGAGAGTGATGATCGGAGTTCGGCTTTGATGTAGACCCTTGATTAACAATAACTATAAGCTTTGTGCCCCTGGGTTGGGAGTTTAAGGAAGACGCTAGAGTTCACATTTGGGGGATGTTCAGTTTAGGGGACGCCCCCAATCCAAGTGTAGCGACATCTAGCACGGTGGTCTTGAATTAAGCAAAGAACAAGAAACACCTTCAGGGAAGGATGCGGTCTCCTTTTGTGATGGCTCTCATCTTACGAACAAGCTCAGCAACAAGGATATGCTAAATGCTTGCATGGTGAAGTGGGAAACTGCGCAGGCAAGGCCTCTAGCATCTCATGATTAATCAGGTCGTGGCCATGCGGTAATTTGAAAATGGCCCCCACCCCGGCCCCGTAAGTAGAGGTTGGTTTCACTGATATACTTGCATCTATCTGTCTACATGTACTTCTACCTATATGCATATGTATATATTCACATCTACCTATCTGTATATGTATCAAAGTTAAGCTGGCCTTTCTGACTAAGTCCCGGCACGAGACGTCCGTAAAGCAGGCCAAGGTCTGTCAAACCATCCAAGCCTCAAAACGTGGGCAAGTTTTGGTTTGCAGGAATTCAGTAATCTGGTTTAATGTCAAGGAACTTCTGCTAAGTTACTATGGTGACGAAACCTTACTCTGTACCTATATTGTGGTGACTTAATTGAAATTCCTTAGCAGCAGCTCAGTAATTCCCCTCAAGTTCTGTGCTTTCTGTCTGGTTACGGGAGGTAAGATAAAATGCTGAACATCCTATTGATGGACAACACTGCCACGGCTTGCACATACCACTTCTAGATCTCAAAGGCAAGGGCCCTTACAGCTCAACCTTGAACCCACATGATGACAGGAACCAAAGCCAATACTTACTGGCTGCTAGTAGGGAATAAATGGGTTACATGGGGATAATGGACAAGAAAATGGAAACTACCACATGATAAAAAATATTGGTGTTATCGTAAGGAATTAGGCAACATTTTGTATGGGGATTATGTAGGGATTGTACGGCCTTATTCCCTACAAAGAACCAGTAAGAATACTTCTTGCATGCAGCCCAATCTGCAAAAATGGAACAATACTGGAACCACTTCAAGGCAACCTCTCTGCTGGTCCTCTGCGAGGAGCTAGGAGTAATTAGAGCTTGTGCGGCAATTTCACAAAACAAGTCCACCCAAGCATACTGCAGTCCTACTGTTATCACATTTATTGATCCCTAACTAAACTCATTTTTTGGAATCCTCGCGTGAATGAGAGAAGGCCGAGGAGCCCGATTCGCTCACGTGCGCCTGAGTGTTCCAGCCGAAGCGGCGTTGTGCCATAGTGAGGCACTGCAGCAAGGGCTCCTTGGCTTTGAGCCATTGCAATTGAGTGACGTAGAATCTCCACAAGGGTTGTTTAGAGTTTAGAAGGGCAAGCTAGGCTGTCAAGATGGCGGTGCCAATCCCACGATGGAGCGGCAGAGGACCCGAGTCAGAAATGGTCATCCTAAATTACCAGCTACCTTACTGGGGGTTAGTAGGGAACATGGGAATATGTTCTATATGGATTATATTCCCTTATTCCCTACTAACCACCAATGAGCTACTGTGCAGGAAGATATACTAGGCGATGCAACACCAACAACGATGCTTTCTGAAGTGATCCTAGGCATGGCTTGGACTCATGGTGTTTGGAGAGAGATGCCAGGAATCTAGTCTTCACTATGAATCAGGCTGTCCCTCCTGGGTCTACCTTATATTTTGCAAGGGTATGGATCTCTGAAGTACTCCGTACATACCCTAAACCCTAAACCCCATACCCTAAACCCTATACCCTAAAACCTAATACATACCTTCCCCCAGAAATGAAAAACTAGCCCAGGTGGTCCAGTAGCCAGCCAAGGCTCCAGGGTGCTGCGGCCGTAGAGCCTCGGCTGAGAAAACCTGAAAAAGTCCTCATACACGGTTTAGTATTTAGGGTTTAGGGTTTGTTTAGGGTTTAGGGCGTACTTGAGAGTAGAAGGGAATATACTGGGGTTACATAGGGATCATGGAAAAGAAAATGGAAACTACTACATCATAATAGGGTATATATTCGGGTTATTGTAGGGAATAATGGGATACAAGGAATTATAGGGGGGATATATTTGCATGTCCCCACTAAGCACCAGCAAGTCATAGTGATGGGCGAGGTTTGAAGGCACATGTTGTTTTTTGTGGAGCCCCTGGTCTTGTGCTAGGAATTTGGAGGTCCAAGGACCCCAAACAGAGACAGGAGTCCAGGAAGGATCCTACCTCAGCAATGAATAAACACTCATCCCTCTAAACCCCAAGCCCTGAATCCTAATTCCCCAAACCTGTACCCCTATGGGATTTTCACCTGAAATCTACATCAAGGGCCAGACCGGCGCAAACCGTCCGTGCACAAGGACGCCACATTCAGCCTCAGAAGTGCCGATGTCGCTGGCTCTTCATAGGGAATGGTATACAGGGCCTTTCTAAGGATAATGGACAAGAACATGGAAACTACTACTTATGGGAGGGAATGTGAGAATATATTACGTTTATAGGGATCATATAGAGATTGTATCCCCTTATTCGCTACTAAGAACCAGAAAGTCTTGTGAAGCATCCAATTTTTTCTTTCTTGTCGTGGTGCGGGTCACACCATTCCTCTTGAGTGCTGGTGAAGCGCAAACATGGCTTCAAGAGTTGTTTGATGTGTTGGGTTGGCAATTGCTTCGTCGTGGTCTTATCTACTAACACCACAAGCTGATCTCCAAAACAGGTCAGCTTCAAACCCCAACGCCCGCAGTTCAAACTGGAATCCTAAATCCAAACCCCCAAAACTCGCATGCACGCAGGTATTTGGGTTTATGTCTTGGGTTTTCATGCTGTAAGGTTCAGCAAGGCTTATTGAGCTTAGTCTGCAAAACACCGCCAAGGACGCCACAGCACCGCAGCCACAGGGGCCATGTCAGCGGCCAGGGACGGCACGCCCGAGCCAGCAGCAAGCTGACACAGGGTGTGTACTGTAAGGTTTAGGGTTGAGGAACTACTGGAAAATTCGGGCATATCATGGTATGGTTAGACGAGAGTTATGAGGGGATAGAAATTGGAACGTGTTCGAGCTTCTAGACCAGGGGTCAGGCCAAACTGTATGGATAAGTGCGCGAGGCTTAGGGACAATGGAGGGGGGTTAGGATGCACGTCTTGGACATGAAGTAAGTGGCTAGATGTTCGGCTTAGACAACTGATTCATAAGATGACAGTAGGGCTGTGGGTTGGAGGGTTTGCCATGAAATTTCCTTGTTGTGGTCTGGGTCCAAGCTTGTTGTGGACCTCCATATGACGCTTAAAGGGCTCTACCACCATGTCAAACTTGATGGGGTAACTCTGAATCCTAATCGCGAAAACAATACTGATGGCCACAGTGAGTGTCGCAGTGATATTGATGTGTGAGTGACAAAGGTGCTACGCATTTGCAGGTGTGTTGCAACAGCTACTGCAGACCAGTGCCCAGCTTAAGTCGACATTTGGCGTGCCTCTCTTCAAGGTTCAGGCACGCCCCACTGCGCAGAGTGTACACTTCGGACCGAATCAACATTCTGTTTACGTCTGAGACCTAAATTCTTGCAACTCACGAAACCCAAACCTGCTTTGCTGTTGACTTAGAGCCCTATATCTTTCTCGATCATAGACCGATCAAAATGTTCCATCCAACCAGTCAATGCCGATGTACAAGTAGTGAACAGCTAGGCGCCAGCTCCCCTTCCCACTGTTGGAGTTAGAACCTCTGCAAAGACAGATATCTTACTGTATCAGGGCTAGATGTTTTTTGTGGGAAGGTAGTTCCAGATGTAGACGCAGTTCCCTTGTTACTGTATAACTCCAGTCTCCATGTCATTTTCCATTGGACTTCCTACTGGTAGAGCCCCTGGGACGGCCCAACTCATCCAAGGCACCTTTGCAGCTTGCCAAGACTTGGAGGCCTTGCACATCAGGCTCTCCGACCTGACGCTTTTGTTTGCTACGTCAGACAAAGACAAGTGAGTGCCCATCAAAATTCGGAATCCTCTTCAGAGCCCCAAAGCAGGGTGCAGTTTAAGAAGTAGCATGATTGTACGGAAGCCAGCCATACTTTTGACAACTGCCAGGCACTCCTACTGCGTGTTGCGCATTGTTTCGAGAGAACTCTGAAGTTTTGGGGAGCCAGATGTTAGGGCTGAAAGACTAGCGCATAACTAATAACTTACTGGGGGTTAGTAGGGAATAAGGAAATATATTATATATATAGGGGTTGTATAGGGATTACATTCCCTTATTCCCTACTAAGAAGGAACCAGCAATGAGAGGTTACAAAGAAAGTTACGCAGTAGCACGATTGTGCCAGGCAGCTTTGTTCCTAAGATAATAATTCTCCGGGACAACAAACTTAACTCCTGCTGAGGCAACCCTATTTGTGAAATTTGTCTCTCCGGGCAGACTATCATATTGGGACAGACAGGTAGTGCCCTTCAAAAAACGATTGCCCTTGAGCACAGTAAGCATCTGGGCAGGCCCAAAGCAAAGCAGGCAACAAGACTTCACTAGAAGGGCTCCGGTGGGAGGCTTCACAGTATCAGTAGCATCTACACCTAATAAAGCTTATCCCATCTTCCCTACGAAGATTTTGGAGCTAATCCCGAAGCTTGCACTTAGGCCCGCCCCAAACCTTAAACCCTAAACCCTAAACCCCTAAACCCCTAAACCCTAAACCCCTAAAACCCCAAACCCCTATATAATCCTAAACCATCAAAGCTGGGCCTTTGTGTGATCTGACTTTTCTCGCAGGCTCTCGCGGCCAGGAGGCAACCAATGCTTTGGGAAGCGTTGATCGAGGCCTTGCCCCCCAGGGAAACCATACGGGGTTTAGCGATTAGGGTTTTGGGTTAAGGGATTAGGGATTAGGGTTGAGGGTTTAGGGATTAGGGTTGAGGGTTTAGGGGTTTAGGGTTTAGGGTTTAGGAATTAGGGTTAAGGGTTTAGGGATTAGGGTTAAGGGATTAAGGGTTTAGGGACTAGGATTAAGTGTTTAGGGATTAAGGGTTTAGGGATTAGGGTTAAGGGTTTAGGGGTGTAGGGATTCTGCTACGATCATTCCAATAAGGATCACACACTCTGAAGCATTCCAAAATTGTCGCTACGTTTTAAGGTTCCCCAAAATAACCCCAATATGCTGAGGATTTAGCCACTTACCAACCCAGGACGCAACACTGACCCCTCGAACGTAAATCCTCGATCACCAAAATCACAGGCCTAGTTCTGGCTTCTGGGCCTATGGACACAAAAAATTGTGAAGGCTCTGAGGAAACATTGCGGGCAATGTCTGAGGCAGGCTTCTACATCCCGGACCTGCCTTCTAGTTTACAGCCAATAGTTCGTTGGAGCTCACTCTCTCTTCTCTGCTCCAGGAAGTTGTCCCAAACAGATCCAAGCAGTCTGCACGGAAGCGTTGCCCTAACAACATCCACGCAAACCCTAAAGCTCTACGCACAACAAAGCACTTCACCAACCTAAGTTCGTCCTTCTTGGATGAAGTATCTATCTCAACCACTACTTGGGCTGAGGCCGGGTAACGTTACTGCAGTTTGCTTGGACGCTTAAGACCAGTAAACTGAGGCTCTTGAACCCTCTAGGGAGGCGTCTAGACCCTAGCCCCCAAGTCGAAGCCCGCCCCACCAAAGCAAAACAGTCCTACGAGCCCAAAATTACCCTGAACCCCAAACTCTATATATCCCTATACCCACGAAGAACCCCATACACACACATATATATATATATACACATACATATATATATATAGATATGCATATAATCCACATTTACGCCCCATAAAAGGTAGTTTACCAAAATAGTCCTTATTATGGGGACCCCCCAAAATGGTACCCCTAATTTTGGGAAACCCTAATCCCTATAATCCCCTATATAAACACAGTTTCCATTTCATTTTCCATTTTCTTTTCCATTTGATTCTCCATTATAGTAGGTACCCCTAATTTTGGGAATCCCTAGGTAGAACCAAGTGAAGACAGGCGGCTAAGTCCTCAGGAGCCAGGCGGCCTGAAGGTGTGAAAAGCAGCTCCAAGGCCTGGTGCTGGAGGGTCAGTCGTGGCTTTATCTGAGCCCCAAAGGGTTCAGGGTTTAGGGTTTCAGGGTTTAGGAAGGATATAGGGTTTGAGGGTTGAAGATATGTAGAATAATTGTCTTTCTGGCTGTTTTACTGGGGTTTTGGGCCATTGTTTTACTCACCTTTGGGGTCCGGGTAAGGAAAAGCATGCTAGGGTTGGAAAAATGGAAGCTCATATGTGAGTCTGGATTTAAGCTTTCGGCTGGGGGATTTGGGGCGCAGGGTCTTTAGGATGTAAGGTTTTGGGTTAGGGTTGCAAGGTTTTGAGCTCAAGGTGGACGTTGGCTTTCAGCTTAGGTTATCATATTTCATGGTCTATCTGCCTACCGTGCGCAAAGCTCTATCAATCCTTGTACAAATCCAAACAAACACTACGCGAGCTATAGTCTATACTCCTAGCATCCCCCCTAGTAAACCCTACAATAACATTCCCCGATAGAATCCCCTATATACCCCCCTTAAGGAGTTTAGACTATAGCACATATAGAAACCCTTATTTCTTAACCCGAAATACTAGTTTCCATTTTGTTTCCCGTTATCCCAATATAACCCCCACCCAAAACACTATACGAGTTTCCATTTTCTCCATCATCCGTATATAGCCCCTGTACATACCCCATCATATAACCCATTATTATAGTAGTTTCTATTTTTCCGTTATCCCTAACCCCTGGAGAACCCACATGGATGTAAAAGAGCCATCTGACTGCCTTTCGCCAGGCGGAAATACGGCTGCAGGCCGCCACCGTGGCGTTGCTTGCGCGGAAAGAGGTCAATGGGACCCCAGGATGTCGGGCTGCTTCCTGTTTTTTGGGGATTTAGAATTTGGGGTTTAGAGTTTTGGGTTTAGCGTTGTTTGGGGGAGCCCTGATTCAACTTGGACTGTCCATTCTTTCAACACCCCAACTGCCGGAATCCCAATCTTCAGTGCCCACCTATACCCCCCAATTGCATAGTCTCTTCATGAAGCCCCAAGCGACCCTCCGAAAGCCCTCGAATCTAACAAAAATGGTTTTGATTCTCCATTTTTGGGCTCTATACCCGATATAACCTCTACAATCCCTGTGTAAACCCCATAGAATCCCCACGAAATCCCTATACACACCCCCCAATAAACCCTAAATCCTATGAAAGGCCTCCTGCATCTTTGGCAGGAGCTGGAGTGCCTGCCAGCTGGGGCTTGCTTCAGCTTTTTGTGGACCGCAAGACGGTACCCAATAACTGACGGGGGGTAAGAGTAGGGAATAAGGGAATATACTATGTGGGGATCATATGGGGACAATTATGCGTCTTCAAAGGTGCTTTAGAGATATGTAGAGGCAGACAGGGATGTACTCGTGGCCATTATTCTACACACTTTTGGGGTTCAGGTTGTGGCATCCTCGGAATCATGGATCCCCTTCTCCATGCCATCCCTACAGTCAGGAACCTGATAATTTCAGCGGAACTCAGAATGTCTACCAGGCACGCGAATTGGAATTTCAACGGGTGTGAGGAAGGCGATGTGAGGATCGGGATTTGAAGGAGCCCTTGCATCTTTGATCTCTTTGATAGTTGTAGTTGGGAGTAGAATGAAAAATGATCCCCCTGTTCGTGCAAACTTCAGGAACCCATACTGAATGCTTCTAGTACTTTATCTTGATTTCTATGTAGCAAAGGACTACGCTTCGCTGAAACTTGTGTGCACACAACGCTACAGCCTGCTCCCACAGCAGCGCTTCAGCAACAACGCTCACTGCGCCGTGCAAGGCCACCAAGAATGGCTGACTGGCCTCTCCAGATGAGGGTGTTTCTCAAAGTGTAGGAATGCTTTTAGGAGAACAGAAGGACTACAGATTTGTCAGAAAGAGTTGTATCTGGCTGTTCTCAGTGCACACTCATGTGTTCAGTGGTCATCTCTTTGAGCTCGACGAATAAGAGCAGCTCAAGGCTTGAGCAAAAACCATGACCGTCAAATCCTGGGCCCTTCGTCTGAAGTTGGGAGCTTCTTGACTACAGGTCCCGGAATTCTGCTGCGTGAGCTCTTGGCGAGGGGATGTAGCACAAGCTCGCAGGAAGTAGCTTTGGTTCCCCACGCAAGCTAGTTGAATTCTGGCACATCAAACAAGGCTCTGGACAACGGCTATTTTCAGGGCATGTTCTAGTTCTACAGTGACCTTGCATTATGCAGATCCCACGGAGCGGCAAACCTAGAGTAGAAGTCAGCAAGATACAGTTCCTGACGGCCCCAATATACTATAGTAGTCTCCTTTTTATTTCCATTATCCCAATATAACCTCAATATAAGCTAGTTCCAAAAGCCTTTGCTTGTCATGCATCTCCATGTCAGGTCTTGTATTGAGTGTAGGAGTGCGCTAAATTCTTTCTTGTTCCGGTTTTGGGGGTTTGGAAGCCAAGCCCTTAATTCAAAACTGTAAGCTCCATGAGAACCAAAACCTACATGATCCTTGCAGTCGCCAAGATGCCTCTCGTCTTTGGAGAGCAAGGTGCTGTGCGAAATCCAAGAGGTTCAAAGCATGCTCCCAGCGCCCCTGAAGGGTTGGAGGAGCTTAGTGTTCGGCATCTAGGGGTTTAGGGTCAAGGCGTGGGACGGTAGATAGAGGGACTCTGCTGGCATCTACATCTGCCTGCAGGACATCCAGCGACAAGGGGCTACGGAGGGAGGGTTTGGGGATGGTTTGGGACTGTGGTCTCTCCAAGCAGACTGGCTGATGCCTGCAGGGCTGTAAAGCTTCTTCTTCAAAAGTTTATGCTCAGGGATATGTCGTGCTATGCGAGCACATGGGGTCGAACAACTGCTCGAAGATCAGCGACACAAATCATGAATAATGTTGAGACCTACTCTTCCAGATCCGCTTTTGGGGAATTCTTCGAAGGGAGGCCCGTGGAAAATGAAAAGTAAGGCTCTAAAAAGGACTGAGGAAGGGTGCCCTGATCCCTGAAGCACATGCGAGGGTATTTTGCAGGGTGCATGCATCTGAATCTCCATCACTGGCAACAGGGAGCTAGCATGTCTCTACCTGTCATGGCCTGTAACTGCAAAAAAGGCACTGAGGTATAACGCGGATCGCACCTCTCTCCGCATCGACAGTCTGCTATGGCCATGACAATGCATCTGTGGAAGGGCAAGCCCAAACGCCAACCTTTGCGCCTAATCCTAGAGCAATTCTGAACTCTAAGCCATATGACCTTCATCTGAGGTTGGGGCACCATGCACGCAAGCACCCAGTGTAGCTGAACAAGCCTCGCGGAGGTCTCAACCCCAGATGGAAAGCCCAAAGCCATCCGGCAGACTGTCATAGTGGTTTGGTGGCAATGGCCCAGCTTCCTGTTTCTTGTTGGTTATGATTAACAACAGCAGTTGTAGCAACAGTAGCCGCAGAAATCACAAGAGGAGTTGGCCGCTACCAGGCCCAAGCTGCTGCCAGTCTTTCTACACATCCCACTGAGCCCCTGCATACCCAAACATCCCAGGACCCAAGCTTGCTACTTGAGCTTGTGCAATATTGCCCCAATATACTAGCGTAGTTTCCATTTAACTTTCCATTATCCCAATATTGCCCCAATATACTATAGTAGTTGAACTAGTACTACTTGTAGAAACCATCAACAAAGATCTCATCATAGCGACCAGAAGGGCAACTGTGCCCCTGACCAAAAAGGAGCCGAGCTGCTACCAACAGGCTCGGCGCGCTCTTTGGCGACACCTCTGCCTCCAGGCGCTAACTTGCTAGGGCAGCCTTTGAACGTTTTTTCACACAAGCTTTAACGGCAATCTCTTCTCCTGCTCAGGACGCCTTGTGAAGCTGCACATAAAAGGTGGGCGTGGAGTGTAGGCTTTGAAGTTTTGGGAGCAGCTTTAGGCACCTTTACCTGTGCTCCGCCCCCTATGAGCACTCTGAAAGATTCCTCAAGCTGTGAAGAGCCCACAATTCCCTAAGCACTCTGAAAGGCTAGGGAAACAGCCAAAGCATGCGAGGTTGCGTGTAAAACATGGCCACCTAGCTCATAAACCCACGCCAACTAAAACTTGCAGAGCTCCTGTAGCCAGCTACAAACTAAAATTCTCCTACACGAGGGGCCAGAACATCAGTAGTAGCTCACACTCAGATAGCCAACCATAGAAATTAGAGGACTGTTACGGAGAGTTCATTCTTCACATGAGTTTGAAAGCTCCCACGAAAGTTGAAAGGGCCAGAAGTTCCGTAAACTTTAAACACTGGGCCTAAACCTAAAGTCTGCCCTTCAAACATAGCAACCTGCTGCAGGTGTCCAGTCTGCGTAGACCCACAGGAAAACAAAAAACAAACCAGAGTGTGCTGCTCATTCCGGGCATGACGGAAATTAGCGTGGGAAGCAAATTGAGCCCCTGGAAGCCAATCTAAACTCGATAAACTATCCCGGTATCTCGAGTGCCGTCCCCCTACCCCCCAACGAGGTTAAAGCCATCAGAAGAGTTTTAACTCTCCCTGTTGACATTACCACCCCGTGTCCACGGTATCAGCTCATTTCATAAACATACTTATGCGCAGAACAGTTTCTTGGGGTCTTCTCATAGCTCGAAATTCCCAACTAGACTCCTGATGTGACTGCTTAGGGTGCTTCCCTCCTTATCCAGCAAGCCATCCAGGATCTGCAAGGCTTCACGCCAGGCCGCGCCTCTTTGTGACAGAAGCTCAGCTACATCGAGAATCAGGTTCTGGCTTCTGTAGGTATGAATGATATTAGTAACGAAGCAGGCTTCTGTTGCGTGGGGCTTCTATCTATACTTACTCAACAGGAGGTGGAGAGGTTAGTGGCTAAGCGTTTCGGCCAGGTAGACATTAACTGATCTGGCGGACGATCGGCGATTCACTGAGCACCAATGATAAGCCGGCCAGTAGTTCTCCCCTTGAACACGTCACCACTCAGCAGTCCATGGGCGCTGAGGTCCCTAAGCCAGCAGTGTTCTGGATTTTCGCACGCTGCAGGCGCTAGAAAAAAGACTTTCGGCAGGTGGGATCCAGGATCCCAACAGTCGACTTGCCACTTTGGGCCATAGCTTTTGCACTCCCCCTTCTATGATCCGACCTTTTGAATCTAGCGTGTCTCCCAACTCGACCTACAGTAGAGGCTCAGAGAGCGATGTGCCTTTTTGGCAGGCGGCCAGCGCGGCGCTGTGCGCAGTGATATCCAGAACCAGCCTTCTTATGACTTGGAAACACCGGTACTCTCGGCAGTAGCAGCAGCCCTGGTAGTGGTGGCAGTAGCAGAAGTATATACTCGTAGTTGCAGAAGCAGGAGCGGTGGCTGCGGGAGTTATTGCAGGAGTTTATGCGGCAATGCCAGAAGGAGGAGAGGCAAGAAATAGTTGAATGGTTCCAGCGTTGCAGTGCACTGCGATGTCTAACTTCAAGGCAGAGCGGGGCTGCAGCTTTGAAGAAGAGCTTGCAATAACTACCAGTTGTAGAAGCTTGCTTCTTAAACGTAGCTCTGCTTTGACAACATTGAAACTCGTTCGTTTTTGTCATCGAATGTTTGGTCCTACAGGTGGGGTGCAATGTTATAGCAGGGTATGAGAATCGAAATGATTCCCTGGCCGCAACACAATCTTGTACCCTGCGAGGGAGTTATGCAAGATTCACTTTGAGACGCAGCAGAAACAAGCCTGCAGCGGCCACTCGAACAATGACACTTTGTGATGCACGAAGAGTGCCAACTACTGGATAGTATGTGCTGGATGTGCAGCATCACTTCTACCCTCTGTACCAAAACGAACGCGGAAACACCACGCATGATTCATTGGTTCTCTGCTTATCCATGTTACGCGACAGGAGCTGCAGCGCTCTTCAACTTTCCTCTCCCTGCTCCTCTAACTGTTGCAAAGTTCCTTCCATGCATGCGACCGAACAGCGCCCAAAATGCGAAGGATATCAGGACCCATTTCTAAGGAACAGTAGGAGATAGCAGAGGGCAAGCTGCACAAACTTTCCCACCTCATGTTGATGGCCGAGCTGAAGTGCTGCAAGGCCCTATCCTTGCGAAGATCACCACCGGTTTGCATCTTGTTGTCCCGCAGGGCCAGCTACCGGACTTTCGGAAGTGCCTGGTACGTTTGTGTAGTGTAGTACAATGGTATGTCTTGCGCGGAGTAGAGGGTTGAGGATTTATACAGCTACTTCGCAACAAATCTTAATAATATAGCGGTTAGACAGGGATTAGAGTGTTGGGGCCGTATGTTACCACGATGTATCAAACGAGACACCGACTATTTGCCTGAGCAGGTGTCTACAAGCTTTGGCACTTTGATTATGTCAAGGCGAGTTTCACCATGAGCCATAAGGATCCTGAGCTGAAAGCAACCTAATCTTGAGACTTCTGATAACCCGCCCGGTGATAGCAACCCTCACCTCCACTCTGTTTATGAACACACGCTTGAGCTGCATCCCTGTTCCGGAACAGAAAGCTCCGCTACCCCTCACGGTGCATACATTCTCGCTGTCGATGTCCTGAAAGTGGAGGGGGGTCCTTTACCTTCTTTGTGAGGCCCTATGTCTATCATGGTCTGAGACTGTAGCCCAGTGGGATCCACGGAAGGCTTCGCTCATCGCATTCGTGAAGCCTAGGCTGGGGATACTGCTGATGGGACCCTGGGGCCATTGCATCATTCTCCACTGAAGCTGCATGACGCACCCATACATAATCCCTGTATAAGCCCAGATTCAATTCCATTTTACATGTTTTCACTTGATGCTAGTACTAGGAATAGACTAACAGTAAATTATTCACGATCATGCTAGAAACAAGATGAATATTGATATGATCTATACAGTATCTAATGTCATTAAGAAGATGAGTATTAAAAAGAAGAATGCATGGTCATCATAATATTGCCGAGGTTCCGGCCAATGGTCAGAGTCTTACGCTTCTGACCCGGAGCTTGGCACATTTCAGCCTCGCAGCCCCCTGCAGAACTGAAGAGCTAATGTGCGGTTTCCAAAATTTAGGACTCCCTTGATGGCGGTGCTATAGTAGAGACTAGCGTATGTTTGCATATAGAGGATGGGCATCCTGTCTTACGTCGTCTCTACCATTTCTACTAGTTGCTGCCATCATTGCACACGACTCTACTGCTTAGAACAGCTGCGAGAAGCACACGCGTAATTGTGGGAAGCACGGGGTCTGGACGCCCCGCCAGGAGGATGCTGGCGAGCTCGTGATTTCCGGCCCTTTCACAGGCCCCGGCCTGAGAAACTCTCGTGCAGGGGCGGGAGGAAGGAAGAGAGTCATTGTAACTGTTGATTGCACTGCCTATATTCCCCCAATAATGGAGAATCAAATGGAAAAGAAAATGGAAAATGAAATGGAAACTAGCGAATATATGGGGATTACTAGGTAAACTAAGCTGCTGCCGAGAATTTGGGTATCGGCTCTTGCCTTGTTTGACTAGTCTGCAGAAGTTAGGCCTTTAGGCTCTGCCCGACCGACTTGAATCACGTGTCATGAAGACCAACCGAAGAAGCCTGGATTTCGAGAATCCGCGGGGCCTGAAAAAACTGCTCCCAGAATGAGACCCACTACTGAAAAGATATTGTTGCGCCAAGATCCCTAAAGCAATTGTTCAAGATCGTGGGCTGTGCTTTGAGCATGGGTGAAAAACGACTATGGTTTTGTGGAATCACCTATTATCCAGTGCAACAATTTCAGGTTTGAATCACAAAAGGCTCAAGCGAAAGAAAACCACAAGAACAGCAATTGCCACAACTGAGTAGTTTTTAGTGGTTGAACCTAGGAATAATGATATTTGTAGATAACATACTATATACCCAAAGGGAAGATAGAGTCTTAGTCTATGTAGGGTACCATAGTACCCCCACATAAAGTACTGAAGTAATTGTCTTTAGCCCACGACTATGCCAACTGCGCCAAGCGGCCGCTACCCCAAAGCAGGCCGCATCTGGCTCCACACTGTGCTCCGGCCTCGTAGGGGGGCAAGCTTTCAGGAGTTGAGCATACAGGTACAAAGGGGTTCCCCAAAGTTATGAACACCTTTTTGGGTGTCCCCATAATAAAGTGAAGGTAGTATTTGGGGTCCCCCATGTAGGGAATCTACCACACGGGAAATCTTCTAGAAGAGGGATTCAGACAGACCGCAGGCATGTGTCGAGGATGTATGAGGACTTCAAGGTTTTAGTTCTAGGCTGTATGTCCTCCTTGCATGGGATGTCTGAAGCAGCGGGAACCTTGGCCTTTTAGGATCCTCTTTCCCTAGGGAGCCAAGTATACAAAGAATACCTACATTGGGCCCTAAAGTCTGTAAACATTACCTACATTTGGCTATTTGGACCCCTAGGGGTTTGGATGATTGGTGAGATGTATCTCAAAATGGCCACGCTCATCATGCTGAGAGGTTGGCATGTGGCTTCATGGCAGGACCCTCAGGGATGATGGGAAAGAACATGGAAACAACTATATTATAATAGGGTATATATGGGGGCTAGATGGGGATAACGGAAAATATAATTGGAACTACTAAATTATATAAGGGTATATATGGCGGCTAGATAGAGATAATGGAACGGAAAATGGAAACTACTGTGCTATGATAAGGTATATGTGGGTATGGCGATTGTTAGCGCCACAAAGACTGATGCCGTTAGCAATGCCAATCAGGTGAACGCTTCTGAAGCCTGACGATCTGCACTGGTCCTGAATATATCCCGGATGCCAAACACCTAGTCATACACGGTCCTGCATCTGATGACGCCCCAAATAGAAAGGACCACTAGTACAGGGGTCCAAGCACATAGCATACTAAAAAACCTTTAACAGCTATGGTAAAGGACTCCCTGAACCCCAATGGTAAGTTGAATAATGACCTTTTGGCTATTTTTAGGGGTTTTGGGCAGTTGTTTTACCTACGTCTAGGGTCCATGTCCTAACGAAGTCAAAGTCCGCTACCAGCTGAAGGAGATGAAGCGAACTAAGGAAGCTGCAGGCTTTGCAGGAGTACCAAGGCCCGACGCCTGCTGGGAATGGTGGGTGGCAGGAAATTGTAGAATCCACAAGACAACATGAAACTACCTTTCTGTTGAGGGTCTAGGGCTTAGGATCCAGGGTTTAGGGCTTGCTGGAATGCATCACTGCAGCAGTTCCTCTACATATATATATATACATATGCATACCCTCCTCGCGCCCCTACAAGCATAGGCGATTCATGCATACATTCTCCACGAAAGACCATTAAGCATGAGACATCCTGCGACTAGCGAAGCCTTCATCAAGGATAGAGGATTTAGGACGTAGGGTTCCTGGGGTGTGGGGTAAATAAGGTCACATGATGCAACACGACTTAGGATAAACAAGCGGGAATGACAACATGTAGCCACTACTGTAGAATAACAATGGCGACAAGCAATATCATGAGTGACATGTCTATCGGCAACATCAATAACAACAATAGGGACAAGTGGTGGAGGCCTGGTATGAGTGAGACCTGGCGAAGTGGAGTATGGGACATTATATTCACCCTCCAAATTCTCTTAACCAGTCCAGCATTTGGGGTTCTGTCTGTGAGTTCTTGCATGTTCTTGAGCCAAACCCAGCCGGCAATGTATTGACATTGAGGACTTCCCACATAAGGCTGCAAGAGCCTGGAACCTTTACTACCAAAACTGGAC